CAGATAGACACCAAACAGTCACACAATGGACATGTCATAGTCATGATAGATGATAGTTTTAAGAGATATGACGTAGACTTAATAGATACGACGTTGTCTAAATATATACGCCACAGTCCTAATAGATACGACGTAGTCTTAATAGATACGACGTAGTCTTAATAGATACTACGTAGTCTTAATAGATACGACGTAGTCCTAATAGATACGACGTAGTCTTAATAGATACGACGTAGTCTTAATAGATACTACGTAGTCTTAATAGATACGACGTAGTCTTAAAAGATACGACGTAGTCTGAATAGATACGAAGTAGTCTTAATAGATACGACGTAGTCTTAATAGATACGACGTAGTCTTAACAGATACGACGTAGTCTTAATAGATACGACGTAGTCTTAATAGATACGACGTAGTCTTAACAGATACGACGTAGTCTTAATAGATACGACGTAGTCTTAATAGATACGACGTAGTCTTAATAGATACGAAGTAGTCTTAATACATACGACGTAGTCTTAATAGATACGAGTCGGACGTAGTCTTAATACATACGACGTAGTATTAAAAGATACGACATAGTCTTGATAGATGACACAGTCTCAATAGATACGAAGTAGTCTTAATAGATGACACAGTCTTAATAGATACGACGTAGTCTTAATAGATGACACAGTCTTAATAAATACGACGTAATCTTGATAGATATATTTGTTACGTCATACTCAATGCGTGTCTACCACGTTTAAATACACAGATAACATCTGTGTGAGATTTGGGGATAGAACATTCAGGCAAGATGTAGGCATCCCCATACGCACCAAGTGTGCAAAAAGATTCAGATTGACAAAACACTCTCCGCAAGACTGTAGGGGGATGGCTTTCAACATCTATCGGGCAATAGTCCTGCAGCTCCTGCCTGTGGTGTATACATTCCACATTGTCTTATACGAATATTTCAAAGAGCGTCATACTGCCCTTGCTCAAAAGTTGTTTGATCATGGTTTTAAAGGTCAAGGCAGCAGTAACGCTTTTAAATGTTTCATGGAAGGTATGTAGAGGACATTCCGAATCTTAAGCATCAGTCACAAAAATGATGTCCGATGCAATTCCCTATTTGGACTATATGTTCCCGTGTTTGTTCCCATGCCTTTGCATGTGTTTGTGGCGGATGCCACTGGAGGAGCAGGATTCGCGCACCTGTTCGCGAAGTTTCCTAAACACATGCTTATGATATAGACGGAATCGCACAATCGACTCTGCATTTAGCAGAAATTTCTTATGATTATGAAAAAGGTTTTGTCGCTTTTATAAAATAACATGCCACAATTATATTCATAGGTTCGTTACGCGTCACAGTTAGTAGTTTTGTTAGTTACATATCGCACACATATGGCTGATTGTTTGTTGTTTAACGCCGCACTCAGCAATATTTCAGCTCTATGAAGGCGGTCTGTAAATAATCGAGTCTGAACCAGACAATCCAGTGATTCATCTCATGAGCATCGATCTACGCAATTGGGATACGATGACATGCATCAACCAAGTTAGCGAGCCTGACCACCCGATCCCGTTAGTCGCCTCTTACGACAAGCATAGGTTCCTTTTACGGCAGGAATGGGTCACTGAAGACCTATTCTACCCCGGATCTTAACGGGTGGCACACATATGACATGTCACATATAAAAATTGAGGAGTACACGAGCACACATTTCAGAAGTAGAGGCTTGATTAAGTGAACGGATTCCCACAATATTGGCACTCAAATTAGAAATACTCGTCTCATACGCGTAACATCAACAACCATCACAGAAATGCCAATCATTTCTATGAAATATTTCACAACTTTCTTTTAATAATATATCCGAAAATGGATAATATTAAACTTCGATTCATTTAAAATGTCATTTCCTGAGATACGTGCGTATTATCAAACACTGCTTCCTCGAGATCAACGCTTCGAAATGGGAGCATGGTTAATGACGTGAAATAACCATTTGTAGGTGTCGTGATTGTGCTGCTGGGAATATTGTGGGCAAGAATTAATACCTTGCTTTGGAAATTTTAAGAAAATGTGAAGAAATTGGGGAGAGGACCACACACACTTTCCCAGCACAAATGGCTAATTTGAATAATTGCTACTTAATGCCTTCACGCTGACGGATCAGTGTGATGGCGTTAATACTCGACCACTCTTTGTAACCATGTGATGTATTTCTCCTCACAAGTTTAAATGACACGTATACTTTTTTTTCTAAAAAAACCCATCTGTGAGTGATATTTTATCCAAGTGAAATAAATAGATCGGCGCCATCCAGTCTCGATTGCAATGTTTATTGTACAACATTTTTCATGATTAAATTATTTTTTCATTTGTCGAAAAACTACTCACAATATACCACAGCTATTTTTTTCCCCCTGTTAAGTGGACGACAACAAAGAAATGAAAAGAATCCAATATATTCTTTAATCACTTGCGCCTTTCATACCTGTACCATGTTACCGTGTTTCTTTCTGATGCATGTGTTTGTGACGGGTGCGGCAGGATACGCTCCCTTTTCACGAACACATGGTGTTATCACTATTTCATAGTAATTCATAAACAGATAGGGTCGGACTTTTAGCAGAATTTTCTTACGATCAATGAAATTGTTGTCGTTAGAATCTAGTAACAGCAATATTTTATATGTCTCCTTGCAGCGCAATGATCTCTTACGTATTCATAATAACTTAAGTCATTATCAGAGTTTTTTATTTCAAAGGAAGGTAAAAAGAGTATTGCGAAAATTGGAAGCAAAAATAGACATTTTACTCCAGAACAAGAAAATCTAATTGATTTTTTTCACAATGATAGTACATTGATTCGAAGATGTAACTAACACAGAAATTCCACACTTTAAAATATATTTCAAAGACATGACGAACTGTTATGCTGACAATGTCATATGTCAAATACAGTAATCGCCTGTTTGTCCAGTGTTAGACCGCCGCCGTCTAGTGGACGGAGCGTCTGTTCTAAGATCGGAAGGTCGCGGTTCAACCTCCGACCGCGTCATACCAAAAAACGTTTAAAGATGCTACTTGTTGTTACCCTGCCAGGCGCTCGGTATAAAGGGGACAAACAAGGACTGGTCGGCTCGGAGTCAGCATACTGTCTGAATGGGGTATTCATGTTAAAGCGTTCGCTCGTCACGCCAAAGACCCGAGTTCGATTCCCGACATGGGTACAATGTGTGAAACCCATTTCTGGTGTCCCCCGCCGTGATATTGCTGGAATATTGCTAAAAGCGGCTTAAAACCATTCTCACTCACTAAAACTGCGCCTGGTATCTCAGTGGTTAAGGAGTATAAAACCGGAACTAATCCGGACCAGTACAAACATCCCCCAACTGCGTGAATCGATGCTCATGATGTCAATTACTGGAATGTCTGATCCAGACTCCATTATTTACAGACCGCCGTCATATAGCTGGAATATTGTTGAGTGCGGTGTTAATCAACAAACAACTAAACAAACAAACGTGCTAGGAAATTAAAATGGACTTATCGTGCTAACAGATGACGACTGGCCCGTGAATATCGGGGGTGGAAGAGGTCTTCAGCAACACATGCTTGTCATAAAAGGCGACTATGCTTGTCGTAAGAGGCGACTAACGGATCGGGTGATCAGGCTCGCTGACTTGGTTGATGCATGTCATCGATCCCAATTGCGTGGATTGATGCTCATGTTGTGAATCACTTGATTGTCTGGTCCAGACTAGATTATTTACAGGCCGCCGTCATGTAGCTGGAATATTGCTGAGTGCGGCGTTAAACAAAAAACAAACAAAAGATGACGACTAAAAGTCCATATATTCAGCAGTACATAAACAGATGACGACTAGACCTCAAACAGACCAGGCTGACGCATACCAGTATCTAATCCCTTAAACAACAATTGTACTGACATTTTCATCTTATAAAGCCCAGTCTAGCAAACGTTAAACCATGCACTCTCAAACCATACACAGAATAATGCTATAGCTTTTGGATGTCAAAGACAGATTTTAAGCAAACAAACAAACAAACGAAGATTGTTGCCGCTGTTCACAGACCGTCTCGATGAATTAGATGTGCACTGAATCACACTAAATCATCAAAATAGAATCATCATTCCCGCGAACAGCAACAAATAAAGATATATCCCTGATGCAAATGACCAAACGATGGATCCTTTTACGCGTTGGCGTCATCTGGCCGCCATGTTGGTTGCAATACAGGTTTGCTCTTGCAACCCAATCAGGCCTCAATGAGAGCCTTAGGGGACTCGGGCCTGCCGGCCAGGAAACACAAGATTGTTTTGGCGTTAATTATGAACACCTGCATATGCATTTAGCAATGAGTCGTTTAAGTATGTACCTTTTTAGAAACACCGTCTTTAAAATAAATATTTTGTTCACGAATCGGTTGTGTAAATCGGTCAACATGACGTCATGAAATAATCACGTGTTTGAAAATACTCTTTCCTGACTTTCTTGATCACGCCAAATAAATGATAACATATCTCACATACAGCGTATATATTTCCTGTTGACTAGTTCGTGGAATATCGTTAAACTTTAAATCTTCACAGAGCAAATGCTATGTTAATGTTGATAACATAATGTCCTTCTTCTGTCGTAAGTTAACAATTTACGTAGATCGATGCTCATGATGTCGACCACTGGATTGTCTGGTCCAAACAAACAAACAAACAACAAACAGTACAGTTGCTGAATAAACAAACGTTATCGCCCGGTTCTGAAAGCTGTTAACTGGACCCTAATTGTCCTCTACTATAAACTGTTAGTGACGGACCATTAACATTTTGTGAGGGGCCTTGGCTATTGTATTGAGACCAGATATTTTTTTCCAGCTACATCTGCAAAAGAAGATATTCTTTTACTTAATCCTATGAGCCAACGTGTCTTTTTTCTAAAAAACTCATTGCAACAATGTAACGTCATCTTCTTTTTCCACAGCGGTCGATGATGTTATCCAGGTTGATGGCAGTGACCAACAGACTCAACTTCAACCGGCCGCTGCTTGGTGGAGCCGGACTCCCAGACCTCGCCCCGCCCGCACCTTTCGCTAACAACGAGGAAAAGAGATTCAGGGCACCTTTACAGGGCCGATCAGGTGAATATATCTGTCATTGCTATACCAATCTTTGACATCGGCTTTCTGTGGAAGAATTATTACATTGTATCTGGGAATGAGCATGAAGCGGTGCACATGTGACATTTCGTTAGGAAGACGGTGTATCTTTGTCCGTTGAGGTATCTGAAAGGTGTTGTACACGCGACAGTTCGCCAGAGAGATAGTATACCTATGTGTTTGGTGATTTCGTGGACCCATTTAATGTTCATGTGGCAGTTTGTCTGGAAGATATTATCCCCATGTCTGTAGTAGTATCGGGGAAAGGGGTGATGACGCTTCGTCAGGAAGATATTATCCCCATGTCTGTTGTAGTATCGGGGAAAGGGGTGATGACGCTTCGTCAGGAAGATATTATCCCCATGTCTGTTGTAGTATCGGGGAAAATGGTGATGACGCTTCGCCAGGAAGATATTATCTATATGTCTGTAGTAGTATCGGGGAAAGGGGTGATGACGCTTCGTCTGGAAAATATTATCCCCATGTCTGTAGTAGTATCGGGGAAAGGGGTGATGACGCTTCGTCTGGAAGATATTATCCCCATGTCTGTAGTAGTATCGGGGAAAGGGGTGATGACGCTTCGTCTGGAAGATATTATCCCCATGTCTGTAGTAGTATCGGGGAAAGGGGTGATGACGCTTCGTCGGGAAGATATTATCCCCATGTCTGTAGTAGTATCGGGGAAAGGGGTGATGACGCTTCGTCAGGAAGATATCCGCATATCTGATTTGTTATCGGGGAGGAGGCGGTAGACCTGTTACTGTTCGTCAGGAAGACAGTATCTGTTGAGTAACGCGGTGGTCACATGGACACTACACTTTGGAAGCTGCGATCTGAGATGAACTAGGGGCGAACTCCCCAGGACGTGTTTTACAGCTGATTAAAACGAGATGATGTGGTTTGTTTGCTCTTTGCTCCCGCCGTTTCGGAAATGTTCTATCAAGTCATCACACGATACGTTTGATCCAAACTGAGTGCAGGATATTGGCAAATGTTTTTTGTAAAGTTGAGTGAAGAATAGAGACAAAGTGAATAAAAACACAAGAGTGTAACAAACCCATCCCTTCCTGACTATAACAAATAAACAACCAGACCGCAACAACAAGGTAATACCACAGTAACAACCCAGCAACAATACTGCAACATCACAGCGACAATACTGCAGCATCACAGCACCAACGCAGTGACGGTAACGTCACAGCAACAAAGTAATAACAGTAACACAGCAACAACATGGCAACAACACAGCACCAAAGTAATAACAATAACACAGCAACATTACAGCCACAACACAGGAACAAAGTAATAACAGTAACACAGCAACATCACAGCAACAACACAGCAACAAAGTTATAACAAAAACACAGCAACATCACAGCCACAACACAGCAACAAAGTAATAACAGTAACACAGCAACATCACAGCAACAAAGTAATAACAATAACACAGCAACAACATGGCAACAACACAGCACCAAAGTAATTACAATAACACAGCAACTTTACAGCCACAACACAGGAACAAAGTAATAACAGTAACACAGCAACATCACAGCAACAACACAGCAACAAAGTTATAACAAAAACACAGCAACATCACAGCCACAACACAGCAACAAAGTAATAACAGTAACATAGCAACATCACAGCAACAAAGTAATAACAGTAACACAGCAACATCACAGCAACACAGCAACAAAGTTATAACAGTAACAAAGCAACATCACAGCAACAATACAGTCAACTTTTCTCGCTTCTCGTTAGTTCCTATTCTCGCGGCAGCGCTTATTTTCATTAAAAATGGAACGGCGCGTCCCCAAGCGGGTGTTCGCCATGACAGTCTTTTCGATGAGGAAAGGGAAGGTCGGTACAAACACTTTCCCACAATGCTTGACTTACTTGAGAGTATGAAATACGAACAAAATGTAAATCCTAATAGCGATCTGTAGAAGTTGGTCATATGCCAGGAGGTTGTGGTGTCGGGGGAGGGGTGATGTCGGGGGAGGGGTGGTATCGGGGGAGGGGTGGTTTCCATGTGACACCTCGTCAGGAAGACAGTATCTCTATGACTGTAGTGGTATCGGGGGAGGGGTGTAGTCGGGGGAGGGGTGGTGTCGGGGGAGGGGTGGTGTCCATGTGACACCTCGTCAGGAAGACAGTATCTCTATGACTGTAGTGGTGTCGGGGGAGGGGTGGCGTCCATGTGACACCTCGTCAGGAAGACAGTATCTCTATGACTGTAGTGGTATCGGGGGAGGGGTGGTGTCGGGGGAGGGGTGGTATCGGGGGAGGGGTGGTATCGGGGGAGGGGTGGTGTCGGGGGAGGGGTGGTGTCGGGGGAGGGGTGGTTTCCATTTGACACCTCGTCAGGAAGACAGTATCTCTATGACTGTAGTGGTGTCGGGGGAGGGGTGGTGTCGGGGGAGGGGTGGTGTCCATGTGACACCTCGTCAGGAAGACAGTATCTCTATGACTGTAGTGGTGTCGGGGGAGGGGTGGCGTCCATGTGACGCCTCGTCAGGAAGACAGTATCTCTATGACTGTAGTGGTATCGGGGGAGGGGTGGTGTCGGGGGAGGGGTGGTATCGGGGGAGGGGTGGTATCGGGGGAGGGGTGGTATCGGGGGAGGGGTGGTGTCGGGGGAGGGGTGGTGTCGGGGGAGGGGTGGTTTCCATTTGACACCTCGTCAGGAAGACAGTATCTCTATGACTGTAGTGGTATCGGGGGAGGGGTGGTGTCGGGGGAGGGGTAGTGTCGGGGGAGGGTAGGTATCGGGGGAGGGGTGGTGTCGGGGGAGGGGTGGTATCGGGGGAGGGGTGGTGTCGGGGGAGGGGTGGTATCGGGGGAGGTGTGGTGTCCATGTGACACTTCGTCAGGAAGACAGTATCTCAATGACTGTAGTGGTGTCGGGGGAGGGGTGGTGTCCATGTGACACTTCGTCAGGAAGACAGTATCTCTATGACTGTAGTGGTGTCGGGGGAGGGGTGGTGTCCATGTGACACCTCGTCAGGAAGACAGTATCTCTATGACTGTAGTGGTATCGGGGGAGGGGTGGTGTCGGGGGAGGGGTGGTGTCCATGTGACACTTCGTCAGGAAGACAGTATCTCTATGACTGTAGTGGTGTCGGGGGAGGGGTGGTGTCCATGTGACACTTCGTCAGGAAGACAGTATCTCAATGACTGTAGTGGTGTCGGGGGAGGGGTGGTGTCCATGTGACACTTCGTCAGGAAGACAGTATCTCTATGACTGTAGTGGTGTCGGGGGAGGGGTGGTATCGGGGGAGGGGTGGTGTCGGGGGAGGGGTGGTGTCCATGTGACACTTTGTCAGTGTCGGGCTAGCGGTGGTGTTCACTTCATCGGTCAGATAGTAATTCTGTGGAAGAACAGACGAACATTTGTGACAGCATTGTGTCAGTTGATGGGAAGGGAAGTGAAGGGAAGGGAAGGGAAGGGAAGGGAAGACAACTCTGGTCAACCAACAAATATCACCCACTCTCTGCCACCTGATGTCCACATTTTTCGCCATGATTCACAGCGCGCCCGACAATAATATAACCACTGTTTATGAAATTGCCAATGGAAAATTCTTTTAAACTATTGTCCAAAATTCTTGTAAAACTTTCGATATAGTAAACCCCATTTCTCGTTTCAAAATACCAATGTTCTCAGCCAAAGCTGACCTCATTTACCCCAAGAGAAACACATTTGTCGTGGGCAAGTTCTGGTATATCACAGAGTTCCAGACACGATGTTACATCAGACGGGGCGTGATTCATCACTTTGCAAGGTTTTTCGCGCCGTTTGTACTAAATCGTTATCTACAATGACTTAAAAACACAGATTACCGCTCATACCACACCGCCATCAACTGTATTTTTTCCAATTGTCCATCACCGGAAGTGGGTGATGTTAATGATATTGTCGTAGTTTCAAAGTATCTTGTTCACAATGTATGACAATAAGCCAGCATTGGGCTACTTGTAACCGAGTCGGCCCAACACAACCGTGTGACTGAATAGGTTTCGTGATGAATTCCTAAGATAACGACATTAAATCATCCATACAAATACGGTTCCATTTATCACCAATGGGTCACCGGGGCTTTGAGTGTTAACAAATACAGTTTCCAAAGTTGCGTCAAACACCGTTGAGAAATTAGGGACCACGCTCGTCCTCTATCAATCATTCCCTCTGCAGCGACCCGGACCCGAGCCACAAATAGTTCAATAATATTTTCCTAGTCACTAATCCAGAATGCTTAGTACTGAGAACGAACCGAGTATCGTATTTTTATGTGATGTTATAAAGGGATGTTGAGTCGTGCCGCTGAAAGGTTATACATTGTACAGGAACAGTCAGCGATAAAAGACAATTACATCTCGCAAAAGGGTCACGTGACTAACGGGATGATCAGACGATACGATCAAGGTGGGTGGGTTAATAACAAGCATTATTACCAGTTGACAGGTTAATGTCATGCCACGTCATATCTACAGCCTTTTGAACGTGTCAGTGCACGATACTATCAACAACCATGTACTTCCTTAAATATTTATATCGTGGCCACGGCATTGAGTGTTCGCCGAGACTTTAAACCGTGTGTTATATTGCCCATTATTAAGTCGTTAGATTTGTTGTTCCAAATATTGCGACGCTGGGTCACAATTCTGGGTTGCGATGTAAGGATGGAAACAATTAAGAGACGTTGGAACGTCATCACCGACATTATGACGGTAACGCTAATTGTCGGAGGATTATCATTGATAGAAGCCCGAGGTCTGCCATTAACTGGCCCGACGGAGAAAAACTGAACGGACTGACAGTGTCTGCAAGTGACAGACAATGCCCTGAAAAATAACGTTACCGCCATTAGAGCTAAAATGGTTGGTTGGTGTGTTGTTTTACGCCGCACTCAGCAATATTCCAGCTATATGACGGCGGTTTTTAAAATAATCGAGTCTGGACCAGATAATCCAGTGAT